TCTCTCTAGAAAATGCTATCTTTTTACTTATTTATTGATTAGTTAATAATGCTTAATTCTACATAAACATAGCTCCCAAACAGGGCTTAAAATGATTTTGGATCTATCGATTTCTACGTTGATTGATAATTTCGGGGGTGATTACATTACATACATATTAAGCTGTATGTATATGCTATGCTATTTTCCCCCAAATTATGTCAGATCAAACATCATTTGGGGAAAGAAATTTAAGATGAAAATTTGATTTGAATTTTTTGCTATCAAAGAAATTTAAGATGAAAATTTGATTTGAATTTTTTTTCTCTCTATTTTCGTAAGATAATACCAAAACGAATCGCGAAAGTTAAGGCAATGTTTGGAAGCGTTTTGGATCTTATTTTGATTTCATTTTGAGTAAATATGTTTTGGGGGAATAATTTGAGAATGAAAGTAATGTTTGTTTGTATTTTGGAAGGAGACAAAATACACTATAGCAGTCAAATCATGTTTAAAGGTGTTAGAAAAATGTATTTTGAAGAAAAAAAATGAAAGATGAAGTGATGTTTATTTGTTTTTTAGTGAAGACATTTTTTACTGTAGCAGTCAAATCATTTTACTGTAGCAGTCACATCATGTCTGAAGGAGAGAGAAACTTTTGAAATTGTTTTGAAAAAATGATTTAAAAAGTGTAATAAATCTCATTTGTTTTGGGGAAACAATGAAAACAAAATGGAAATGGTTCCAAACATTGCCTAAATTACTATAAAAATCTAAGAAACATGAATATCAAGTCGATTATGAAATTTACACAATTGACTTATAATTAATATTCTTAAGATGAAAGAAAAGACATCAAACGTTAATTGATCGCCAGTGTACGTTCGATCGCCGGTGGGTAGCAATTTAACCGCCATTAATGCGCCTATGTAATAGAACAAAGTTTTTTTTTCTTTTTCAAATAACGAGAACTAAGTTGGGAAATAGAAGACGAAACAAGTTAGACATGAAGGGGGCTTTGAGAAGTGAGACGACTTTGAATAAGTGAACTTAACTAGAGTAAAAGTAAGGGCTCGTTCGGTTACCACTATAAGGTTCTACTGACTAAATAGTAGGGGCTAATAGCATGTCCGGTTGGCAAGATTCACACTTATTCGAAACCGCTACTAATTAAAATCAAAGCCCGCTATTAGATGCTACTATTTCATTAAATTAGTAGCACCCCTCCCCCTGAGATTAATTTAATAGGGGGTGACTAAAAAGGAAAAAGACAGTTTATCCTTAAAATCATATTTTATTATTGTAAACTAAGTGGTTTTATAGACAATTCATATATAATAACCGATTTTAACAATTTAATAGAAAATCTAATCTAAGAAATCGAACATGCTACTAACTAATTAATTAATTAGTCAGTAGAGAGTTAATCTAATCTCATGTAATCCAATCTAATCCAATATAGGAAACCGAACGAGCCCTAAGTGGATAAAATAATATAATTGGGTAGGGCAAAAAAAAAAACAAAAAAAAAAGGAATATATATATATATATATATATATATATATATATATATATATATATATATATATATATATATATATATATATATCTATGTATCTATTTTTTATTTTTTTTTTTTT